CACTCTGTCTCTGGTGAATCCTTTCACCCTCCGCATCTCTGGCCTGTACACCAGTTCTGTATGAATAAATAAATAAATCTTTTTAAAAAAATTGGACTTATCATTTTATTTCTCTTTTTCCTGTGTCTTTCATATACATAAGTGCTGATCCTTACTGGAGGTAGGTAGGACACAAGTATTTTTAATCCAATAAATTGACTAGATGCCCCATTTTACTGAAATAGTCTCTCTTTAATTGAAGCATAGCAAGTAGGCTAGACACCACAGGTAAAGTCCTAGAAGACAGGCCCCATTCTGACAAAGGGAAACATTTAAATGGCCTAAAAACAAACTGTGAAACGCCAAGAGTTTTGCCGAGTGAAATTAATCTGCACATTTCAAGTGGAAGGCTCTAAAATTTATTAGCCAAATTACCCTCTAGCTTTGTCCTAAAATTTCCCATGTGCAGGCTAAAATACAAGGCAGCACATGAATCCCATGAATTCTTGAAGCAGTATTTGGGATCAGTGGTATATAATAGAATGCTTGATCACTTACCTGTGCAAGAGATAGTTCTGGAGTTATACCTTAGAATTTTGGGAATATATTATTTGAGGAACAAGGGGGAAAGAATCTTTAAAATTAGGACTATATTAAAACTCCTTTTGTCACACTTGTGAAGAGCCATTCAGTGAAAGAGAAGAAAGGAAGCAGCAAAGCAAAGAGACGCTTATGGTGGGCACTAGTTGGTCTCTCCTATAAGGAAAAATCAACACTATGCTCTTCTAAGCTAAAAAAAATTACCCACTTTTAAAAGGCAACCCAAGACAGGTTATACCTGTCCCTCTGCGTCTTTGATTTTCGTTTCCAAGATAAGTTTGGCAGCTTGCTGTTCTTTGTTCAAGTGCTGGAGCCCCTCGTAGGTCGTTTTGTATTCTGCAGACAGTCTGGCAATGCTGGCGTCACATCTGCCCGGGCAAACAACAAAGCTAATTCTTATTAAAGTTTAAAAGCATGCTCTAAAGCTTCCTTACATACTATAAAACACACCACCCCGCTCAAAGAAACTGCACTATGAATCATTCATTTTTGCAGAGATTCAGATGGATTCAAAGAGCTTGCCTTCATTATGGTTTTTAAGTTAAACCACAGGGACAATGCATAAGATCAGAGATGTAACCATCAAAGCAGCAAAGCCTTACAATGTTCTTGAGTACAAAATGGTGTGTGCAGCGAGAGCCCGGTGCCAAAAAGCGATGCCGAGCGCCAGATGTGTCGCTCCTCGTTCTACCTTTACCCTTTCAAGTTCACGGCTGCTTTGGATTTTAGAGGCAACTTTTACTGCATTTGAAAGTGCTACTCCTAACCTTTTATCAAATCCCCTGAAGGTCGGTGTGCTGTGAGAGGTACCTGGAGCAGGGGAAGGCTCTGAAGCTGGTCCAAGCTGTCATGAGAGCTGCTCTGCCCCCAGGACCTCAGAACTGAGCTGATTCAGTGGTGCTCAACACGCCTGTGGCAGGCCAGCTGTGGGAAGCTCTAACCAGGGAGTCACAGAATGGCCCCCTGGGAATTCACAGCAGCATCATGCCCTGTTCTGTTCAACCAACCCTGGCTTGAGAAGGAGCTTCCAGCTCGCTAGGGGGTGCTAGCAGAGGCTGCACATCTAAGCATGGGCACTGAGTCCATCATGCACACCACTGTAGGCCGGCATGGAGCAGCACTCCACCTACATGGGCCAGCAGCATCTAGACATCAGCATGAATTAAGGGCAGAGTACAGAATATAAGTCCAGGCTCCTGTGGCAACTATGCCTCCTATGGTGCCAACTTTCCTCAAGTCACGCCAGTGAACCCTGCAGGAATTCCTGATGACCGGGTGAACTGACGGAGAAGTCAGGTCTGTTTACAGATGGTCATGTGCAATATGCCGAGACCTTCTAGAAGACCGCTGACATTTAAGAGCCCATTCAGGAAGAAGTTATATGAGTAACTCAGAATTAACAAAGAATTCTTGCTCCTTGTGAATGCTTCCTGTACCACAGGGGCAGAAGCCCAAAATCTGTACTTCCTTACTCTTGCCAGCAGGGCTCTGATTTAGAGCTCACCAATGAGAGGCACTGCAAGATCTGGAAGATGGAAGAAGAAGAGGGGCCCTTGTTCTTACCTGGCAGTGGTGGGCTGACATGGGAGGATGACAGCCACTTTCAGGCCCGTTCCTGTAAATCATTTATTTCATGTAATAGACAGCTAAGATTCAATGACACCTTCCTGTGACTCTTGCGTTGCCTATTTTTCAAAAATAGCAGTTGTCTACTTTGCTTCCCCAAATCTTCCAATGGTTCTGCAAGATCTAATTTCTTGTATTTAATACCTGCCTATTAACATACTTCAGCATGGTCTCTGTTTTTTTTTTTAACCAAACCTTCATACAAAAAGTTAGCAAAATTTTACAAAGAAATATGCAACATTTTAACCAACTATCTCTTGATCATGTGATTTTCTTCGATTGCTCCCTCTCTTCTAAATTGTGAAACCGTTCTGCAATAAGTATATATGATTCTTACAACCACAAAAATAATTACACAATGAAAATAATTAATTAGCAGTTGTACAAAGACCATGCTGCAATTTCCTGGGGTAAGCACTAATAGCTGTGCCCAAGATCCCATGTAACAAAAGAGGCTGGAGGGCAAAGATACCAGAGATAGAGGTAGATGGGATAGTCACTGTCATGACAGTGAGGTCAAGGTCAAGGGAAGAGATAGTACAAGTGGGCTGGCTATAGATGAAGTCTCAACTCATAATCCATTCATTCACTCAGTAAGAATGTCTACTAAGTGTTAGATTCTACTAGAGAAAATGGAGAGAAAACTGGACATTTTTCTTTCCAGTACACACATTGCACCACTAGAAATTTTTTAAACATCCTAATGCCACCACTATCAAAAGGTTATTTGGCCTACAAAAGTATTTTTCTACTAGTTATGTAGTTTATACTTGACACCCAGTTCTTACTCATTATCCCATATTGAGTCAAATGAGCTCAGAAATTGTTTGACAACTTGACGAACAAGTCATTTTAAGTACCCACAGAGAAGAGAAAGCCTGTGGTCATTCACACTTTCAGTAAACCAGTAGCCTACAATATTCCTACATTCCAACACTGGGGAAGTTATTCATCTACACCTAGGTCTTCATAAGACTTACCAATTGTTCCCTAAATGTCTTATTAAGGAAAATTATCTCACTAACTAAATTAAAACACATAGAATATTTGCAATCACATAAGATATTCTGCTACCATGATATGAAATTATCACATTACTACAATAATAAATTATTATCTGGTAACTATGTGTGTGAAGAATTTAAAAAGACAGATTAACAACTTAGTTACCCACAAGGAGTAAAACAGAGATAAGGCCTGGTAAGCTCTCACTTTTTACTTTATATATTTCATAGTACTTCTGATTATTTATAAGCACACATATCATTTGAGTACCTTTATAAGGAAAGAGGCAAGTAGGCAGGGTGGGCATGGGGAATCTCAGGAGGAATACCAGAGCCTCCCTCAGAAAACACACAATAAAATCAACCTCAGGTTTTTTTTAATATGAAAAACAATGCTATTCTTACTTACACATGAAAGAATAATGTGATAAATGGGATAAAATGTTAACATGTGGTGAATCTAGTAAGTTTCCTCTAGGTTTGAACTTATTTCAAAATACATACATACATATAAATAAAAAGGGGGAAAGCAATATTGCCATTTCAGGTAGAGTGGAATCAGACATCACTCCTATCTAGAAAACACACTCAAAAAGGACAGCCTTGGGATTCTAACACAGCTGTGTGCGTACTTAACATCTTGAGTCAAGCAAGAATTTGCAATGAATATGATCAGTTGTACTATCTCATACTTGATAAATCAGTAAAGTACTCATTACAAATGCTCTCTTCTCATTTCCTTCTGTGGCCCTTTGAGTGGACACATGAGTCTGTACTGGGCATGTCGGTCACAACAGGGAGGTGGTCAGAAGTGCACCAAAAGTGCACCCATGGGTCAAGCAACAGACATGACTTAGGCAACATGCTTAGCAGTACCTCTCTCATGGCTCATGACATGGTGGCACAGCACCCCCAAGGACACTGACATTGAAAATATTAAGGTGATTGTTTAGCCTGCATATTATTAGTTATTCAATACGTAAGTATTTTATGTACACATCAGCAGTCACTTAAGAGCTAGCAATAACTGACTTTTACATTTAAAATTGTATAGTATGTGAATTATATCTCACTGAATCTGTTCAAATGAGAGAGGCAGGTGGAGAAGGGTATGACATGGAGGGATACCACCAAGTGCCTCTGTTGGGCCTTCAAGTCCACAGTGCCAACCATAAAGAGCACTGCGTTATCCGACTCTCCACATATACCTAGAAGGGGATTAGAACGCCTGCCTCATAGACAGTTCTCCTCTAAGGCTTTGGCACCATACAAACCAACCTTAGAGAGGAACGGAAGTGGCCACTGAGTCTTGGGAAAAAAAGATGACAACACATAAATCTTGGCCCAGAAGGGAATAACAACAGCCGATCAGTGTTGAAAGCTACAGTGCAACAGGAAAGAGAGGCAAAGGGGTGAGTGGAGCTTCAAGGGTCATAGTAGGGAGACCACAGAAGTGGTCATCTGGCTACGCTCTATCTCCATGTGGCCTTTGCATTAGCCCTAAGCTTACCCAACAGAATCAAAGGCACAGAGCCAGCATGCAAGGCTGTGTCACCTGCACAAATAACCCTCTCCACTACAAGAAGGCCTGGGGTCTTGTGGGTCCCTGTTCTTCCTTCTACCCACCGCTTGCAGACTACACTCATTCTACCCTTAGGCTGCTCCTAAACTGCCCATCAGTTCTACCGCTCCCCCGTTCATGTGCTTGATTCACAAAAGCAGCAGGGGGCGGAAGAGGCCTAGAAATACTTTTAGACAACTTCACCCAAATCTGACAAAGAGAATCCCAGACACAGTCCTTGAGCAGTGCTTCTCAAACTTCAACATGCACAAGAGTGCCGGGATCTTGTTAAAATGCCAATTTTAATTCAGTAGGTCCACGGTGGGCTCGAGATTTGATGCTGCTGGTCCACGGAGCACCTTAGGTAGGGAAGGGCTAGAACGGCACTGCTTACACTGTCTGAAGTGAAAGAGCTCTTCTAAAACTCCCAATATATCAAGAACTGCTACTCCAAGAAAATGAAAGAAAAATGAGGCACAAGAAAAACAAAATCTTAGAAAGGACAAAATATAAATATTGGAATCAATAAACATGATATTGCCAGACCAAATTATATAGGTGAGCTGAGCTCTTCCATCATCTCCTTCCCTGAACCCAACTCTAGTGGCAGAAACACAAGAAATCCTGGCCCCGCTTACCAGCAGGTTTAACTTACACCCTTCGACTTTCTGGGCAGAGGAGAGGATGTAGTAGGAGAATGCGAAGAATGTGTTTTAGGGCTTTACAAATACATTCCCTACTAAAGCAGAGTTAGAAGAACAGCCCTTGATGAGTAGCCACCAGATACTGGCGCACCTACCTGGCCACTCTCCCTCGAAGGTCACCCAAACCAGAGAGCTGGCGCATCTCCAGAGTCTTTAAGGCAGAATTAGTTCCATAGCTGATGTTGTCCCGGGCACGGATCTGCTCCTGGAGTACCTGGGCAACACAGAAAGCCCCCAAGGAGGTTACCTGAGAACGGACGCACTGCCATGGAAGTGTTTTATATTTTTGGCCAAAATAGGAATGTTTAACTCCTTTTATGAGCGGTTCCTTTAGCAGTCATGTAAATAAAGTAAATGCTAGTTATTTTTATGGAGAACATCTTTTCTACTTATTTGATAACTATTTCTACAAGAGCTATGCCAGAATGCTGTCTCAGGAAAGACAAATGAAAGGGACCCCTTGAAGATCAAGTGACCAGGCAGAAAAACAGGAGCCCTTGGAGCATCCATTCTGGCCAATCTTCAAAGAAAAGATGGAGCTGATGAGGAGAGAGGTGTTTACTGAGCAGGTGTGAGGAGGTGCCAGTGCTATGCACCATGGATGTGCTCCCAATGCCCACTGAACCCTTGCCAGGAGCTTCTCTCAGGATCCTTGGGCAGGAAGATGCACAAGGTGCTGAAATAATGCCCCGAAGCTAGGAGGACCACAGGTTAACTAGGCCTGACCCAGGCACCTGAACCCACACTCTTGGCCACTCTGCAATGCTGCCTAGGACACAGGACAGAAGTGGGAGCACCAAACAGAGGCAACAGGACAGAAAACCCAGGCCTGAGTAGCAGGAGACCTGCATAAGAAGTAGATCTCATCAGAAGATTCTTGTGCACATTTTCTCACTCTTTTCCACTCTTCCTTCCCGGAAGTTCTGTCCTTCCTACGCCTTCCCACCACTGCCACCTTCCTGGTCTTTTCAAAGAAAACAAGTTTGAAGTGTTTCTGTTCTCTCCCTTGCTTTGCTTAGATGTCAGCTGAAGTATGTGTTAATTCCTTTTTGCTTTTTGTTTTATTTTTTTTTACAGTAACTTAGTAACAAAGATCCTTTCCTATCAGTCCAGTGTTTGCTGTGTTCACAGATTGGGCATGAAGTGCTTTTCTTTTTTAGTGTTTAAATTTGTTCTGAATTCCTATTTGATCTAAGGGTATCTTAAAATTTAAGGATAGCTTAGATTTGTTTCTTCATTTTTAAGTAGTTAAGCTTCTGTTGCTTTTAAAATTTCTTTCTAATTGTGTTGACTTATGATTTAAAAAATATGATCTGTAAGGTATTTAATATCTTTAATGTGTGCTTTATGGCACATGAGTGATTTTCTTTTGCTGCTCCATAGCCATGCAAAAAATTATGAGAGGAACAAAAGGTTTAATATTGTCTTTTCTTTGCTGATTCCATTATTCACTTTCTCTACATCTTATTTATTTTTGTCTGCTATAGCTCTCCTGCTGTGAAAGAGGTATCATGATTCTCTTGCTGCAAAATATTTTCACAAAATTCTCCTTACATTTTAAATACTTTTTACTTGCTATTTTATTTGGCACAAGCTTATGATAATAGTGGCTATAACCATTATAAAACAAACTTCTGATTTAGTGCTTTTATTCTTAAGTTTCACCTTACCTGATATTAATGGTGCTATTATGCTTTGTAACTAATAAAACAAATACTCACCAGGCATGTTTCTAAGTGCTTTGGGTATGTTAACTTATTTCATCCTCAGAAACCCCCCAAAAAGGTATTATCACTATCTCCATTTCACAGGTGGTGATCTCTATGTGGTTAAGTAACTTGCCCAAGGTCATGGTCAACAGTGATGGAGCTGGGACTTGAACCAATGAGTCTAACTCTATAAGCTGTGCTCTCAATCCTGACAATACACTGCTTTGATGTTTGTGTTTTCATCCAGCCTTTCTTCATACCTTATGTTTACAATCTATGTTACTGCTGGTTGTAGTTTCCATTCCTCCTCCTTATTTTAACTGCTTGTCTCTTAGACTCTTGTAAGGTTACCACTTGTCTTTTAGACTCTTGTTAGCTAGGGAATGTTCCTGGCATTAGACCAAGACGTGACCTCCTCTTCCCCAATGCTCATAAGCAGATACAAATCTACTCTAGGCACCACCCCTGAACCCATCCCAACTAGGTAAAACAATTAAATTGCTAAAACAATTCCCTAATTTTAGTGGAGCTATACTTAGACTTTTGTTTATAGAACATCTTTTCTCCTGTTCTCCTTTTTTGTTTTTTAAAGATTTATGTATTTCTGCATATAAGAACTGGGGTATAGGCCAGAGGTATGAGGGGTGTGAGAATTCACAAGAGTCAGAGTGGGGAGCAGAACAGGTAGATCCCTAGCTCCCCGGCTGGGGGTTGAACACAGGTTGCAGCAGCGGCTGCCCACAGCTCCAAAGCTCTGTCTTTAACCCAGATGCCACCTGAGAGGCCCTCTTGCCTTCCCCTCCCCCACCCTCCAGCACTTCCATTACCCAATCCCAGGTTTTCCTCAATATCTATCTACATGAACACATCTAACTATAAAAGATAAAAACAGACTGAAAATAAAAGAATATCTATCTACATGAAATAATACTGATATGTCTTTCTTAAAGCTTCACTGCTTAGCTTTGTGCTTCTCATTTTCATTTTTCTCTATTTTGGTTATAAAAGTCCTTTTTCTCTAGTCTTAATTTCAGGTCAAATATTTTAATGAAAGATTCCTAAATCCTTGTAATGTTGATAATTATCCTTCCCTCCCCCTGTAGGAAAGGTGATAAATTAAAAGGGAGGGTAAACCCTTGTGGCGCAGCAGGTTAAAGCACTGCACTAAGAAGCTAAAGCCACTTCCACATGAGTTCGATCCCCGCCTGCCCTGGAGGAGATCCACATGGCGTGGCAGACCTCTCCTGACCTGCCCGCTGCTCCCTTCAGCAGTGTACTTCCTCAATCTGCCTGTTCTGCTCCCCGCTCTGCCTCTGGTGAGTCCTCTCACCCTCCGTATCTCTGGCCTGTACCCCAGTTCTGTATGAATAAATAAATAAATCTTTAAAAAAAAAAGACTAAAGACTCTTGGTTGACTGTAGAAGTGTTACGGCCTAGTGAATTCTAAGGTTGGTAGAAATCTCATGCTTTTTCCTTGGTATCTTGGCTCCTTGTATCTAGATATATGTAAGATTTTTTACTTATTCTTTGGAATTCAGGATTTCATCAGAAAGAACCTAATTGTGAATCATTTTAAAAAATTCATTTCTACCTGGAACTCAATAAACTATTTAATGTGTATTGTCAGATATTTGTTTAACTCAAGTACATGTCCTTTCTCTCTAGAACAGTTCTTTACCTCTTTTGGACCACTACTCACATGTGGGTGTCCTGGATCTGTTCTCCATGTCATGTATCTTTTTCTTCTTGGTTTCTATGTATTTGTCTCTAACATTTCAGCATTTCTTCTAGTTTGTCATGTGGGCAACTAACTCAATTAATACCAGTAACTACCATTGCCTCTGGCCCATCTACTGACTTTTAAAAATTCAAGTTCAAGGAAGAAATTTTATATAGTACTTGAATCTCATGTGCCCTATTTCAGTTGAAGCAAAATAACAGAGTGAGTTGATTATAATTAATAAACACTCCTTTCTCACAGTTCTGAAGGATGTTATATCTGAAATCAACATGGTAAGCGAGGACCTCTTTCTGGCTTACAGAAGACTTCTTGCTCTATCCTCACTTGTTGGGGAAAGAATGCTCTGCTTTCTCCTCCTCTTCTCATAAGAGTTCTAACCCAGGCCACCTCATTGAAGCCTAATTTCCCCCCAAAGGGAGGGTTTACCCTCCCTTTCATTACCATCACCTTGAAGGGTTAGACTTTCAACATACAAATCTGGGCAAAGGACACATTTAGTCTATAATAGGCCCTAATTGTTTTTTTATTCAAGGTCCATCTATTTCCTGTCATCTGTGCCTACTATAAGGGCTGTGTTATTCTTTCTCCCTGTGACTGCTGGTCCTCTTTAGGTATATTGTTTCTTTTTTATTCTCTGCTCATTAGAGTGAGATTAGGAAGCTGGTCCTGAGTGTAGTGAAAGGTGATCTGGGTTGGAAGTGAGCCACCGAGAGCACAGAGCCAGGTTCCAGGTGAGGTGCCATGAGGCAGCTTCTCCACACCCTGCTCCCCAAGCCCTCCCAGTTTGGATGCAATAATGATACAGTCCACTTCTATTGTATCACTTGGTGAGGGCAGGAGTCTCACTGAGGCATGTGGTATGGTAATAAAAACCGCCTTCCCAGTCTGACTCCTAGTCAGGGTGTCCAAAAACTTCATTCCCAGGCTCTCCTGACTCAGGTTTCTGCTGGCTCTTTCAAGCCTTCATGCTTTCCTACCCTAGCTGTTTAGGATGATGATTCTGGAGTTGGGGGGAGTAGAGTCAGGCACATTAAACCAATGCCTCTCCATTACTTCCTACACATATGGGATATAGTATGTGTCTGAAGGAGACAGTCTTAAGAATACATGCCTGTGGGGACCCCTTCTGGTGCAAGGGGTCATAGAACTATGAAGCTATCCACAGACACTGCAGCAGAGTTCAATCACCAGCCAGGAAGGTGGCCCAAATGGCATGGCAGATCTCTCCAGTCTCACCCACTGCTCCCCTCAGCAGTGTACTTCATCGATCTGCCTGTTCTGTTCCCCACTCTGTCTCTGTTGAATCCTCTCACCACTGCCATCCCACTTCTGGCCTGTACCCAGGTTCTTGTATGCATAAGTAAATCTCTTAAAAAAAAAATACATTCCTGTTTTTTCACAGTCCTAGTTCTATGTCTCAGTGATGGGTCTAGAATAAGCAAAAGTAGTGCCAACAGGCTATAGACCAAATCACCTAAGGACACATGCTCAGGCTGTATCCCATCCTTACACAACTCGTCTCTACTTGTTACTACTTAGAAACAAGTATCCTCTGGAATGATATATTTGTGTGAAGCCACTTGCTACTATTTATTTATAGGTACAGTCAGGCATCATTTAAACTCCAAGGTGATCTTGTGGTGGCTGAACATAGTGCCTCACACAAAGACAGATGGCATAGCCCACTATATATAAGAACTACTGTGATTTATGCAGTCCACCCCTGACTGAAGCACTACTATGGGACAGTGTGCAAATGAACAA